GAATATTACATCGTGTGCGGAGTTCGGGTGTCGGTGATACTCTGCGTGTCTTGTAATGTAGGAATCTATTCCAGGGGTTCCGGCTTCATCACAACGCAACCTAGAGAACAACTGGGGGCTCGTCCGGGATTTAGTGCTGCCTCTGCTGCACTGCACTCCTAAGCTGTGTCCTCAGTCTCTCCTCTGCTGCACTGCACTCCTAAGCTGTGTCCTCAGCCTCTCCTCTGCTGCACTGCACTCCTAAGCAGTGTCCTCAGCCTCTCCTCTGCTGCACTGCACTCCTCTGCTGTGTCCTCAGCCACTCCTCTGCTGCTGCACTGCACTCCTCTGCTGTGTCCTCAGCCTCTCCTCTGCTGCACTGCACTCCTCTGCTGTGTCCTCAGCCTCTCCTCTGCTGCACTGCACTCCTCTGCTGTGTCCTCAGCCTCTCCTCTGCTGCACTGCACTCCTAAGCAGTGTCCTCAGCCTCTCCTCTGCTGCACTGCACTCCTAAGCTGTGTCCTCCGCCACTCCTCTGCTGCACTGCACTCCTAAGCTGTGTCCTCAGCCTCTCCTCTGCTGCACTGCACTCCTCTGCTGTGTCCTCAGCCTCTCCTCTGCTGCACTGCACTCCTAAGCTGTGTCCTCAGCCTCTCCTCTGCTGCACTGCACTCCTAAGCTGTGTCCTCAGCCTCTCCTCTGCTGCACTGCACTCCTAAGCAGTGTCCTCAGCCACTCCTCTGCTGCACTGCACTCCTAAGCTGTGTCCTCCGCCACTCCTGCTGCACTGCACTGCACTCCTAAGCAGTGTCCTCAGTCTCTCCTCACTGCACTGCACTCCTAAGCAGTGTCCTCAGTCTCTCCTCTGCTGCACTGCACTCCTCTGCTGTGTCCTCAGCCTCTCCTCTGCTGCACTGCACTCCTAAGCAGTGTCCTCAGCCTCTCCTCTGCTGCACTGCACTCCTAAGCTGTGTCCTCAGCCTCTCCTCTGCTGCACTGCACTCCTAAGCAGTGTCCTCAGTCTCTCCTCTGCCGTGTCTTCAGTCTCTCCTCTCTGCTGCACTGCACTCCTAAGCTGTGTCCTCAGTCTCTCCTCTGCCATGTCCTCAGTCTCTCCTCTGCTGCACTGCACTCCTAAGCTGTGTCCTCAGTCTCTCCTCTGCTGCACTGCACTCCTAAGCTGTGTCCTCAGCCTCTCCTCTGCCGTGTCCTCAGTCTCTCCTCTGCCATGTCCTCAGTCTCTCCTCTGCCGTGTCCTCAGTCTCTCTCTCCTCTGCCGTGTCCTCAGTCTCTCCTCTGCCGTGTCCTCAGTCTCTCCTCTGCTGTGTCCTCAGTCTCTCCTCTGCTGCACTGCACTCCTCTGCTGTGTCCTCAGCCTCTCCTCTGCTGCACTGCACTCCTAAGCTGTGTCCTCAGTCTCTCCTCTGCCGTGTCCTCAGTCTCTCCTCTGCTGCACTGCACTCCTAAGCTGTGTCCTCAGTCTCTCCTCTGCTGGACTACACAACACCCCTCATCTCATCTCAATCACTCCTCCCCCTCTCCATACAGGAGTCCTGTAGTCCAGCAGAGGAGAACTCAAGCAGGGCTGATTTATGAGCATGGATGCAGCGTTGTCACCTCACTACAGGAAGTTAGGAACTCGCTGGATTTCTGGAGGGTTTTTTTGTGGTGGTGTTTTTAAAGGGATAAAACCGCAGAAGAGCAGAGATGTTCTTTTTACATTTATTTTGCCCTGTTTTGGGGCGATTATATATAAAAAAAAAATCTGCCCAGGGGCGTGTCCTCAAAAGCTTGCCAGTGTCCAATCATCTGGGAGGTACCAGCCTATAGCTCGGGGGCTATAAATATTCTGGACTGCATAGCTTTTATCCTCCAAAACTGCAGGTGAACGAATTCTATGGAAATGCGGCAAACTGAAAGTTCTCTGCTGATCGAACGTTATTCATGGGGAAAATACCACCTTATGGCCACTAGATGGTGCAAGTATCATAGGAAACAGGTATGCTCACCAGCTCCATCTAGTGGCCACCATGCAGTATGGTCCCCATTCACACAGCTTCAATGACTATGAATGGGGAAAGTACTCACTACAGTCACTAGATGGCGCTGAGGAGCAAACTTAATTACTATGATTCTCTTGTCGCCATCTAGTGGCCATAATGTGGTATTTTCACCATTCACTATTTTTTTTTAATGAACAGCATTCGATCTGCAGAAATTATAGCCAGAGAACATTCGATCTGCAGAGAATATAGCCAGAGAACATTCGATCTGCAGAGAATATAGCCAGAGAACATTCGATCTGCAGAGAATATAGCCAGAGAACATTCGATCTGCAGAGAATATAGCCAGAGAACATTCCATCTGCAGAGACTATAGCCTGAGAACATTCGATCTGCAGAGACTATAGCCAGAGAACATTCCATCTGCAGAGAATATAGCCTGAGAACATTCGATCTGCAGAGAATATAGCCTGAGAACATTCGATCTGCAGAGAATATAGCCTGAGAACATTCGATCTGCAGAGAATATAGCCTGAGAACATTCCATCTGCAGAGACTATAGCCAGAGAACATTCGATCTGCAGAGACTATAGCCAGAGAACATTCGATTTTGTCCCATTCACACAGAGTTTCGATGGACGAGCATCTATGCAAGTTTTGGTGTGACCACACCCCCTTTAATTTGTGGGCGCACTGTCCTCACCGCGCCCCGTTTCTTCGGCATCATCACTTCCACCTCAGGCTTTACGTCCCGGAAGATAAATCTGCCGCAAAGATCCCGGCGACGGACGGGCGGGGCGCACAAACTGATTTTGAGTCTTATATTCAGGTTTTGGCCACCTGAGCTTCCAGCGGTTGGGTACTCGGGGGGGGGGGGGGGGGGGGGGGGGGGGGGGAGGGGGTCGGATCGTTCCAGAACGCGCGGTTAGTTTCGTATTACATTGTCGCAATCCTCCAGACACCGCGAGGATCGGCCGGAACGTATCGCATCACCGAACCGCCGCGGCACGCTTTGTTTTCCCTTTAAGTAGAAGGAGGGTGGTAGGAGATCCGTGCAGCGAGGGCATTGGGGGATCAGTGAGAATCTCCGCCCCCTACGACAACGAATCACATTACGTCATGACTGTGTGGGCGGAGTCAATTACATCCAAAGACACAAATGATTAGGAAAGGGTTAAAGCTGAACTCCGGGAACAAAGTATAGAGTTACACAGAAGATAGAAATCCAACATGTGAGCCAAAAACATCACTGCAAACCCAGATGTTACCTTGTAAACGAGCCAGTGACATCACTATACCTGTGCAGGGGGCAGTGGGCGATATCCAGCAGGCTCCACCCACTAGGGGAGGGGGCGGAGACAAGACCAGTCACCCTGAACAAGGAGCCGAGCTGAGGGAGGGGACATCCAGGCTCCACCCACTATAGGAAGGGGTGGAGACCAGACCAGTCCCGCTGCACAAGGAGAGAGAGTAGAGCTCTGGGAGGGACTGAACAGGCTCCACCCACTAAAGGAGACTACAGGAGGGGGGCGGAGACCAGACCAGTCACCCTGAACAAGGAGACAGAACTATGAAAGGGACTGAACAGGCTCCACCCACTACTGGAGACTACAGCAGGGGGGCGGCGACCAGCCACTCTGCACAAGGGGAGAGCAGAGCTGTGGGAGGGACTCAACAGGCTCCACCCACTAGACTACAGTAGGGGGGCGGAGCCCAGGAGAGCAGTGGGGGGTCTGTATTACACTGATGACAATATTCAGTGCTTATATGCTAATGTTGGCACCCCGGGACCCCCGAGGACGACACATGATGGGCGGATTGTCCCGGAGTTCAGATTTAACCCCCCCACCCTGCGTCCCGATGACACGACAGGAACTGAGAGGAAATCTCCAGGAAAAATTCAAACCATCCCCATTGGAAGATTTCCGTCTATTTCCTGTTCTGGTGACAACTTGGAATTGCAGATTCCTCCATGACCTGACACTGGTCACCAGGACAACAGGGGGCGGAGACAAGGCGGCTATAAAAACCAGCCGGGGGGCGCTACCCCCTGCTAGATGTCTTAAAGGGCCAGTACACCGATGACACGTGGTATATGATGGAGCGATCGGTACGTCAGATACGACGGTTCCCTCTGGTGGCCTCTCGCTGACGGGTGACTGACAGATGACAGGAAATCCCCCCCTCTCCCCATCCCCCGACAATCTGCCTTCATTGGTGGAGAAATGGTCGACTTTCACAGCTACGAAGGTTATATTTCTCCTTCCCTGGTTGCCCCTCCCCTCTCATCCTTCCCTGGTTGCCCCTCCCCCCTCATCAACATAATAATGACATTTCCCTTTTCATTACATACCTTACATTAGACCCAACAATGTCATCACTGGGTCTCTGTGCTTCTCTAGGCAGTACAGGCAGATCATGGCTGGTGGGAGGAGCCAGCAGGGGGGCTGTACATAGCTACCTGAAAACATCACATCACCCCTGCCTCAATACTCCTCTCAGGGGCCCTTGATCTGTCACTCTGCTCTACCCTCCTGTCAGCATGCTCCTTGCACTGGAGCACAATGGGCCCTCTCCCAGTCTGAGCTCTGCTGTACAGGAGGAACGGATTTCAGGTCAAGCTCAGGTTCAGCCACAAGTTCCCTTTAAAGCTCTTTTAGATCATTCCTGTGGCCCTTCAATCCTCTACAGAGCAGCAAGACAATGGAGGAGAGCGAGCAGTCCGGGACCTCAGATCAGCAGGACACCAGTGAGGGCAGCGACAGTCACATGTGGGAGTACCTCCGTGCCATTGGACAGCCAAAGCCTCAGCAGAGAAGGTACGGGGTGGGGGATGGGCGCCCCTGGGTGGACAACAGGTAATGGAAGATCATCCTCTCCTTCCTCTGAAGAGCGAATCCCAGCGTGCAGAATGAAGAGATGCAGGGGGTGTCCTCGGGGGGTGGGGGGGCCTGGTCCTCGGGGGCGGGGAGGGCACGTTCCATTATACAGAGCAGTTTTTGGGTTAATCAGAGACCTTTAGCTGCGGCGGGACTTGGAATGTTGGATCAGCCACTGCAGAGTGATATCTGAGGAGAGAGGATGATGGGAGTTAGGTGGCCGCAGGAGAAATCCTTCCACAGAACAGCCAATCACAGGCCAGGGAACACGCAGAATGTTCCCAGCAATGTGAGCGCTCAGCACCAGGCCTGGGAGATACTGGAAATCACTGTAGTAGGGGAGTAGTAGAGGTGTAGTAGAGGTGTAGTAGAGGAGTAGTAGAGGTGTAGTAGGGGAGTAGTAGAGGTGTAGTAGGGAGTAGTAGTAGGTGTAGTAGTAGGAGTAGTAGGGGAGGTGTAGTAGGGAGTAGTAGTAGAGGGTAGTAGAGGAGTAGTAGAGGTGTAGTAGGGGAGTAGTAGAGGTGTAGTAGGGGAGTAGTAGAGGTGTAGTAGGGGAGTAGTAGAGGTGTAGTAGGGGAGTAGTAGAGGTGTAGTAGGGAGTAGTAGTAGAGTGTGTAGTAGAGGAGTAGTAGAGGTGTAGTAGGGGAGTAGTAGAGGTGTAGTAGGGGAGTAGTAGAGGTGTAGTAGGGGAGTAGTAGAGGTGTAGTAGGGGAGTAGTAGAGGTGTAGTAGGGGAGTAGTAGCGGAGTAGTAGCGGAGTAGTAGAGGTGTAGTAGGGGAGTAGTAGGGGAGTAGTAGTAGGGGAGTAGTAGGGTGTAGTAGAGGTGTAGTAGAGGTGTAGTAGGGGAGTAGTAGAGGTGTAGTAGGGAGTAGTAGGGGAGTAGTAGGGGAGTAGTAGAGGTGTAGTAGAGGTGTAGTAGAGGTGTAGTAGAGGTGTAGTAGGGGAGTAGTAGAGGTGTAGTAGTAGAGGAGTAGTAGAGGTGTAGTAGAGGAGTAGTAGAGGTGTAGTAGAGGAGTAGTAGAGGTGTAGTAGGGGAGTAGTAGAGGTGTAGTAGGGGTAGTAGTAGAGGTGTAGTAGGGGAGTAGTAGAGGTGTAGTAGAGGAGTAGTAGAGGGAGTAGTAGTAGGGGAGTAGTAGAGGTGTAGTAGGGAGTAGTAGTAGAGGTGTAGTAGGGGAGTAGTAGAGGTGTAGTAGGGGAGTAGTAGAGGTGTAGTAGGGGAGTAGTAGAGGTGTAGTAGGGGAGTAGTAGAGGTGTAGTAGGGGAGTAGTAGCGGAGTAGTAGAGGAGTAGTAGAGGTGTAGTAGGGGAGTAGTAGGGGAGTAGTAGGGGAGTAGTAGAGGTGTAGTAGAGGTGTAGTAGGGGAGTAGTAGAGGTGTAGTAGAGGAGTAGTAGGGGAGTAGTAGAGGTGTAGTAGGGTAGTAGTAGAGGTGTAGCTGCAATGTAGTAGCAGAGTAGTAGTGGGGTAATAGTGTAGTAGGTATATACAGTCAGGTCCATAAATATTGGGACATGGACACAATTCTAACATTTTTGGCTCTATACACCACAATGGATTTGAAATGAAATGAACAAGATGTGCTTTAACTGCAGACTGTCAGCTTTAATTTGAGGGTATTTACATCCAAATCAGGTGAACGGTGTAGGAATTACAACAGTTTGCATATGTGCTTCCCACTTCTTAAGGGACCAAAAGTAATGGGACAGAATAATAATCATAAATCAAACTTTCACTTTTTAATACTTGGTTACAAATCCTTTGCAGTCAATGACAGCCTGAAGTGTGGAACGCATAGACATCCCCAGACGCTGGGTGTCATCCCTGGTGATGCTCTGCCAGGCCTTTACTGCAACTGTCTTCAGTTCCTGCTTGTTCTTGGGGCATTTTCCCTTCAGTTTTGTCTTCAGCAAGTGAAATGCTCCATCGGATTCAGGTCAGGTGATTGGCCATTGCAGAACATTCCACTTCTTTGGTGGCTTTTGCAGTCTGCTTTGGGTCATTGTCCATCTGCACTGTGAAGCGTCCAATGAGTTGTGAAGCATTTGGCTGAATATGAGCCGATAATATTCCCGAAACACTTCACAATTCATCCGGCTGCTTCTGTCAGCCGTCACATCATCAATAAATACAAGAGAAGCAGTTCCATTGGCAGCCATACATGCCCACGCCATGACACTACCACCACCATGATCACTGATGAGGTGGTATGCTGAGGACCATGAGCAGTTCCTTCTCCATCCTCTTCTCTTCCCATCACTCTGGTACAAGTTGATGTCGGTCTCATCTGTCCATAGGATGTTGTTCCAGAACTGTGAAGGCTTTTTTACATGTCGTTTGGCAAACTCTAATCTGGCCTTCCTGTGTTTGAGGCTCACCAATGGTTTCCATCTTGTGGTGAACCCTCTGTATTCACTCTGGTGAAGTCTTCTCTTGATTGGTGACTTTGACACACATACACCTACCTCCTGGAGAGTGTTCTTGATCCGGCCAACTGTTGTGAAGGGTGTTTTCTTCACCAGGGAAAGAATTCTTCGCTCATCCAGCACAGTTGTTTTCCGTGGTCTTCCGGGTCTTTTGGTGTTGCTGAGCTCACCGGTGCGTTCCTTTTTTTTAAGAATGTTCCAAACAGTTGTTTTGGCCACGCCTAATGTTTTTGCTATCTCTCTGATGGGTTTGTTTTGTTGTTTCAGCCTAATGATGGCTTCACTGCTAGTGACAGCTCTTTGGATCTCATCTTGAGAGTTGACAGCAACAGATTCCAAATGCAAATAGCACACTTGAAATGAACTCTGGACCTTTTATCTGCTCATTGTAATTGGGATAATGAGGGAATAACACACACCTGGCCATGGAACAGCTGAGAAGCCAATTGTCCCAATACTTTTGGTCCCTTTACAAGTGGGAGGCACATATGCAAACTGTTGTAATTCCTACACCGTTCACCTGATTTGGATGTAAATACCCTCAAATTAAAGCTGACAGTCTGCAGGTTAAAGCACATCTTGTTCCTTTCATTTCAAATCCATTGTGGTGGTGTATAGAGCCAAAAATGTTAGAATTGTGTCCATGTCCCAATATTTATGGACCTGACTGTAGGAGCGGAGTAATTACAGAGTAGCAGCAGTGTAGTAGCAGAGTAGTAGGGGTATAGTAGTGGTGTAGTAGCAATGTAATAGTAGGGGTGTACTAGAGATGTAGTAGCAGGGTAATAACAGAGTAGTAGTGGGGTAGTAACAGTGTAGTAGGGGTATAGCAGCAGAAGTGTAGTAGAGGTGTAGTAGCAGAGTAGTAGTGGGGTAGTAGAGGGGTAGTAGCAGAGAAGTAGTGGGGTAGTAGCAGAGAAGTAGTGGTGTAGTAGCAGTGTAGTAGCAGAGTAGTAGTAGTAGTAGTGCAGAGTAGCAGAGAAGTAGCAGGGTAGTAGCAGAGAAGTGGGGTAGTAGCAGAGAAGTAGGGTAGTAGCAGAGAAGTAGTGGGGTAGCAGAGAAGTAGTGGGGGAGTAGTAGCAGTAGTAGTAGTAGCAGAGAGTAGTGGGGCAGCAGAGAAGTAGTGGTGTAGTAGCAGTGTAGTAGCAGAGAAGTAGTGGGGTAGTAGCAGTAGTGGGGTAGTAGCAGAGAAGTAGTGGATAGTAGCAGAGAGTAGTAGTAGTAGAGTAGTAGCAGAGAAGTAGTGGGGTAGTAGCAGAGAAGTAGTGGGGTAGTAGCAGAGAAGTAGTGGGGTAGTAGCAGAGAAGTAGTGGGGGTAGTAGCAGAGAAGTAGAAGTAGTAGCAGAGAAGTAGTGGGGGTAGTAGCAGAGAGTAGTAGTGGCAGTGTAGTAGCAGAGTAGTAGGGGTAGGTGTAGTAGCAGAGTAGTAGCAGAGAAGTAGTGGGTGTAGTAGTGGGGTAGTAGCAGAGAAGTAGTGGGGTAGTAGTAGTAGTAGAGTAGTAGTGTGAGTAGTAGCAGAGAAGTAGTGGGGTAGTAGCAGTGTAGTAGCAGAGTAGTAGTAGTGGAGTAGTAGCAGAGAAGTAGAGGTGTAGTAGCAGAGTAGTAGCAGAGAAGTAGTGGAGTAGTAGCAGAGAAGTAGTAGCAGAGAAGTAGTGGGTAGTAGCAGAGAAAGTAGTAGGGGTAGTAGCAGCAGAAGTAGTGGGGTAGTAGCAGAGAAGTAGTGGGGTAGTAGCAGAGAAGTAGTGGGGTAGTAGTAGAGTAGTAGCAGAGAAGTAGTGGGGTAGTAGCAGTGTAGTAGCAGAGTAGTAGCAGAGAAGTAGAGTAGTAGCAGAGAAGTAGTGGGGTAGTAGCAGAGAAGTAGTGGGGTAGTAGCAGAGTAGTAGCAGAGAAGTAGTGGGGTAGTAGCAGAAGTGGGGTAGCAGAGAAGTAGTGGGGTAAGTAGAAGTAGTGGGGTAGTAGCAGAGAAGTAGTGGGGTAGTAGTAAGCAGAGAAGTAGTGGGGTAGTAGCAGACTAGTTTTGAATCCTCCCTGACAGCCCCACCCATCTGGCAGTGTGCAGTCAGGGAGGATGAAGTAGAAGGTAACACCAGGGCAGTTGGAGGAAACACACAGCATTCCCTCTCTATACAGAAACTGAGAACAGTGAAGGAGGTGGAGGGGGACCTCTGAGGTCACTATGTGGCTGGAGAATAATGGAGGTAATTAGACTCACATTGGAGAGATTACTGGATGCCTGAAGTGTCTGTGAAGGATCTCATAGATCCACTGGACCCCATTATTTGTGTAATGGGGAGGAATAGTGCCCCATCGCCCCATCGTTGGTGTCAGTGGGAGGAGTTGCGCCCCATCGTTGGTGTCAGTGGGAGGAGTTGCGCCCCATCGTTGGTGTCAGTGGGAGGAGTTGCGCCCCATCGTTGGTGTCAGTGGGAGGAGTTGCGCCCCATCGTTGGTGTCAGTGGGAGGAGTTGCGCCCCATCGCTGGTGTCAGTGGGAGGAGTTGCGCCCCATCGTTGGTGTCAGTGGGAGGAGTTGCGCCCCATCGTTGGTGTCAGTGGGAGGAGTTGCGCCCCCCATCGTTGGTGTCAGTGGGAGGAGTTGCGCCCCATCGTTGGTGTCAGTGTTGCGCCCCATCGTTGGTGAGTGGGAGTTTGCGCCCCATCGTTGGTGTCAGTGGGAGGAGTTGCGCCCCATCGTTGGTGTCAGTGGGAGGAGTTGCGCCCCATCGTTGGTGTCAGTGGGAGGAGTTGCGCCCCATCGTTGGTGTCAGTGGGAGGAGTTGCGCGCCCATCGTTGGTGTCAGTTCGTCAGTGGGAGGAGTCAGTGGGAGGAGTTGCGCCCCATCGTTGGTGTCAGTGGGAGGAGTTGCGCCCCATCGTTGGTGTCAGTGGGAGGGAGTTGCGCCCCATCGTTGGTGTCAGTGGGAGGAGTTGCGCCCCATCGTTGGTGTCAGTGGGAGGAGTTGCGCCCCATCGTTGGTGTCAGTGGAGGAGTTGCGCCCCATCGTTGGTGTCAGTGGGAGGAGTTGCGCCCCATCGTTGGTGTCAGTGGGAGGAGTTGCGCCCCATCGTTGGTGTCAGTGGGAGGAGTTGCGCCCCATCGTTGGTGTCAGTGGGAGGAGTTGCGCCCCATCGCTGGTGTCAGTGGGAGGAGTTGCGCCCCATCGTTGGTGTCAGTGGGAGGAGTTGCGCCCCATCGTTGGTGTCAGTGGGAGGAGTTGCGCCCCATCGTTGGTGTCAGTGGGAGGAGTTGCGCCCCATCGTTGGTGTCAGTGGGAGGAGTTGCGCCCCATCGTTGGTGTCAGTGGGAGGAGTTGCGCCCCATCGTTGGTGTCAGTGGGAGGAGTTGCGCCCCATCGTTGGTGTCAGTGGGAGGAGTTGCGCCCCATCGCTGGTGTCAGTGGGAGGAGGTTGCGCCCCATCGCTGGTGTCAGTGGGAGGAGTTGCGCCCCCATCGTTGGTGTCAGTGGGAGGAGTTGCGCCCCATCATTGGTGTCAGTGGGAGGAGTTGCGCCCCATCATTGGTGTCAGTGGGAGGAGTTGCGCCCCATCAGTGGGAGGGTATCAGTGGGAGGAGTTGTGCCCCATCATTGGTGTCAGTGGGAGGAGTTGCGCCCCATCGTTGGTGTCAGTGGGAGGAGTTGCGCCCCATCATTAGGCAGTCTGGAGACCCCGTCCTATAGAATGTAATGAAGATCTGATATTCGATGTTGCAGAGAACATTCCATTGAATATCGAACCTTCAGAACTATTGGAATGGATTCTCCATGGGGTATGTCGTGTCCCCCCCCCCCCCCCCCCGTGTCAGCGGGCCCCTTCATTACACCCGATTCTGGTTTTGTGGCCCCAGCCCGGGACATACATGGGGCGTAATTCGCTCCCCACCCCCGACACTCACCTATGTTGTCCTTCTCTTTGCAGGAAATGGAGTAGCAGCAGATTTCTCGGTCCTGGATGGACGACAGGTGCCTGCGGAGGGAGAGCGCAGAAATCAATACGATTATCTCGGCAGCCGCGAGACCTCAGCGACACCGCGAGACCTCAGTGACACCGCGAGACCTCAGCGACACCTCAGCCACACCGCGGGACCTCAGCCACACCGCGGGACCTCAGCCACACACCGCGAGACCTCAGCCACACCGCGGGACCTCAGCCACACCGCGGGACCTCAGCCACACCGCGAGACCTCAGCCACACCGCGGGACCTCAGCCACACCGCGGGACCTCAGCCCACACCGCAGCAAACAAAGCAGCGATCGTTGTACTTTCTATACGCACACGCGGCATTGGCGGGTGACACGCCAACACGGAACAGCAGCACATGGCTGCACACGGAGAAGCCTTTCGTACATGGAGACACGTCTCCAACAAAAGGCACACAGCGCTGATGAATAGGGCGGGGCCCTCCTGTGACACCGACACCAAGGAAGGGATGAACACAAATCAGAGTCTCCTTTCAGATTCGCGATTCTGGAGGCAAATGCATCCTCATTACACCCTCTATACAAAGGAAGGATTCCGCAAGTGGGGGCAGGGGGGGGCAGGAGGGAGAGAGGGAGAGAGAGGGGGGGGGGGAGGGGGGGGGGGGGGGAGGGGGGGGAGAGAGGGGGAGAGAGGGGGAGAGAGGGGGGGGGGGGGAGGGAGAGGGTAGGAGGGGGCAAGAAGAAGGGGGGGAGGGTAGGAGGGGGGGAGAGAGAAGGGGAGGAGGAGAGAGGGGGGGGAGGGGAGAGAGGGGGGAGGGGGAGAGAGAGGGGGGAGGGGAGAGAGAGAGGGGGGTGAGAGAGAGGGGAGGGAGGGGAGAGAGAGGGGAGAGAGAGAGGGGAGGGGGTGAGAGAGGAGAGGGGTGGGGAGAGAGAGAGTGGGGGGGGAGAGAGAGAGAGGGAGAGAGAGAGAGGGGGGAGGGGAGAGAGAGAGGGGGGAGGGGACGAGAGAGGGGGGAGGGGAGGAGGGGAGGTGAGGGGGGGAGGGGGGAAGGAGAGGGAGAGGGGGGGGAGGAGAGAGAGGGGGGGAGGTGGAGGAGAGAGGGGGGAGGGCGGGAGGGAGAGAGAGGGGGAAGGGGAGAGCGGGGGAGGGGGGGGGAGAGAGAGAGAGGAGGGGGGAGAGAGAGAGAGAGGGGGGAGAGATGAGAGAGGGGGGGGGAGAGAGAGAAGGGGAGGAGGGGGGAGGAGAGAGAGGGGGGAGGAGAGAGAGAGAGAGAGTGGGGGGAGAGGAGAGAGAGAGGGAGGGGGGGAGAAGGGGATGGGGGGGAGAGAGAGATAGGGGGGAGGAGAGAGAGAGAGGTGAGTAGAGGGGGAGGGTCTCGGGAGGAGGGGGGAGGAGAGAGAGAGGAGGGAAAGGGGGAGGAGGAGAGAGAGGGGGGAGGGGGTAGAGAGGAGGGAGGGGGAGAGGGGGGGGGGGAGAGAGGGGGGGGTGGAGAGAGTGGGGGTCTTTGGAGAGGGGAGGGGGAGAGGGACGAGGGGGAGAGGTGGGAGTGGGGGAGGGGGAGAGAGAGGGGGGAGAGGAGGAGGGGAGGGGAGAGAGAGGAGGGGGGAGAGAGAGTGGGGGAGTAAGAGAGAGGGGGGAGGGGAGAGGCAGAAAGAAAAAGAAAAGGAAGGTCCCTGTACAAGGAGCGGTGAGGTTGGTGGGATGGGAGAACTTCCCGGGTGGAGAGGTCACTATAGGAGTCCTATAACACAAGAGGTGGTGGACGGTCGTACTCCTGGGGGGTCCCGGGGGGGGGGGGATCTGGGGGGGGTCCCGGGGGGGGGTCCGGAACAGATACACAGATCCTTGGGATGTGCAGCAGCTCTCGGCCCTGGAACAGATTCCATCCAGGACAGAAATGCTGCGAAGTGTTGCGGATCCAGAAGCAGTTTACTTAATTGTGGAGGTGAGGAGGAAACCCAGCGTGTTGGAGGAGAATAAATCGCCCCCTTCGCCTGGCCTTGTGCAGCGTGGCTCTTCCTGTACATGGAAATTTCAGTGGCTCCCTGCTGCTCCAGGGTGTGTTTGGTGCTCTGCACCCTCAGGGACGTCACATTGGGACGCAGCAGTGTTGTCCATGCAGCCACGTGTCCCAATAGACTTCTATGGACTGGCAGCACACGGATACATACAACACCTGGGCATCCCTGTGCCGGACCGGGAAAACACGGACCTGCCACGGGGCACGCGGTCACGCTTTGTATACTGTATCCGTGTCATGGAGCAATAGAGAATATCAGGAGTATACGGGTGGTGATCTGGATGTAATATATGTGGGACTGGACGCCCCCCCCCACCCACCCCCGTCCCGCACCCCACCCCACCCCCGCCTGTGCACCACGGATCAGCATTTTGCATCAATATGTAGCAGTTGAGCTTGGGTAAGATTCTGTTTCCAGCACCCCGAGTGAGCAGGTTGGTGTCACCCCCCGAGCCCCTAGCAACACCCCCCACCCCTAGACCACCCCGACTGTGAGCAGGTTGGTGTCACCCCCCCGAGCCCCTACCACCCCTAGATTACGCGAGTGAGTAGGTTGGTGTCACCCCCCGAGACCCCTACCACCCTAGACCACCCCGTGCTTTTCCTATGTGAGCAGGTTGGTGTCACCCCTCCAGCCCCTACCACCCCTAGACCACGCCGAGGTTTGCAGCAGGTTGGTGTCACCCCCCGAGCCCCTACCACCCCTAGACCACCCGCGCTTGTGAGCAGGTTGGTGTCACCCCCGAGCCCCTACCACCCCTAGACCACGCCGACGCGTGAGCAGGTTGGTGTCACCCCCCGAGCCCCTACCACCCCTAGACCACCCCGAAAGTGAGCAGGTTGGTGTCACCCCCCGAGCCCCTACCACCCCTAGACCACGTCCCCCTGAGTGAGCAGGTTGTGGTGTCACCCCCCGAGCCCCTACCACCCTTAGACCACCCGGAGAGAGAGCAGGTTGGTGTCACCCACCCCGAGCCCCTACCACCCCTAGACCACCCGAGTGAGCAGGTTTGGTGTCACCCTCCAGCCCCTACCACCCCTAGACCACCCCGAGCTGTGAGCAGGTTGGTGTTACCCCTCCAGCGTTTATTATGTATATTTTTTCCTACCACCCCTAGACCAACGCCGAGGTTGCAGCAGGTTCCCCGTTTCCAGAACCCCAAGTGAACGGGACCCTCAAAATAATACATAAAAAGTTTTGCCTTTATTATACTAAAAGACCACCAGAGTGGGCATTGTGCGACCAATCAGTGCAGACAATACCGGGGGGTGACACCACCGAAGACACAGCCACGTATCCCGGGACATATTATACAGGAAGCAGGAGGAGCGCCACATCGATGGTCAGAGAGCCAGAGCCCCATCAGGGCTGCAATACAAGTGACAAGATATACATTGTATCTTTAGTATAAAGTGTTTGAGGTGAAAAGATGGAGAAAATCAGAAAAAAAAAAAACTATTATAACTTTTTTTTTAATCACATTTGTTTTGTAAATATAGATATATTTTTTTCCCCTCAGAAATGCATTTTTTGTCTTAGCCGCTCTTTTTGGTTGTTTTACCGCCCACATTTCATACTTCATATTTAGATTTAATATGGACTTTTCTATTTTCTTACTTGTGGCCCGATGAAGGGGGGGGGGGGTGACTGAACCCCGGAAATGTGTTGGATTTCTTTTGATGACTTCTTTCCTAGAACCTGGTTTTAGACTCTCTATTGGGGTGTTGCTCCTTTCTGCTTCCCCCACCCTCCCGACTTTTGGGGTGTTTTCCGGTATTTTTGAGCAGCCCGACCGAAGCAGTAAGCCCTCTGACCACGCTGGAAGCTATTGAAGAAGATTCAGGGGCCCCGTGGTCAGTTGTACCATCGATGTCCATGGTGGGCAGGGCAGCAGGCGAGATGTGCTTATCCAGAGTGTCACCAACATTTTATGGACGAGCTGATTGGTGTCTGCCCCGAGCCCCCGCCACCCCTACACCACGGCCTAGGCAGGCAGCGCAGGTTGGTGTCACCCTCGAGCCCCCGCCACCCCTACACCACAGCACTTGGTTTGCAGCAGGTTGGTTGTCTCACCCCGAGCCCCCGCCACCCCTACACACAGCCTAGGTTGCAGCAGGTTTTGGTGTCATTGCCCCATGAGCCCCCGCACACCCTACACCCACGGCCAAGGTTGCAGCAGGTTGGTGTCATACCGTTGAGCCCCGCCGACACCCTACTCCAACGGCCTAGGTTGCAGCAGGTTGGTGTCACCCCTCGAGCCCACGCCTCCCCTACACCACGGCCTAGGCAGCATGCAGGTTGGTGTCACCCCTCGAGCCCCCGCCACCCCTACACCACGGGCCTAGGTTGCAGCAGGTTGGTGTCACCCCGAAGCCCCCGCCACCCTACATACACACGGAACAAGGTTTTGCAGCAAGGTTGGTGTCACCCCTCGAGCCCCCGCCACCCCTAACCACAGCCTAGGTTGCAGCAGGTTGGTTGTCACCCCGAGCCCTAACCGCCTACCCCTAAACCAGCCCCAGCACCTAGGTTGCAGCAGGTGGGTGGGGTCACCCGAGCCCCCGCCACCCCCTACTTCACCACAGCCTAGGTTGCAGCAGGTTGGTGTCACCCTGAGCCCCGCCACCCCTACACCACAGCCTAGGTTGCAGCAGGTTGGTGTCACCCTGAGCCCGCCACCCCTACAAACCACGGCCAAGGTTGCAGCAGGTTGGTGTCACCCGAGCCCCCGCCACCCCTACACCACGGCCAAGTTGTTGCAGCAGGTTGGTGTCACCTGAGACCCCGCCACCCCTACACTGCACGGTCACCCTACGGCTGCAGCAGGTTGGTGTCACCCCGAGCCCCCACCACCCCTACACCACGGCCCAGGTTGCAGCAGGTTGGTGTCACCCTGAGCCCCCGTCTCCCCTTACACCACGGCCAAGGTTGCAGCAGATTGGTGTCACCCCCCCATTACATCAATGCAGGAAGTCAGTCAGTGAAGTGTTAATGTTGGGGGTCACGATTGGTCAATAAGTTACATTTTCTCAATCAGCTGCTTCTCGTCCAATGCGCTGGAGAGATCCGCTTGTTCCCGAGAACCAGGACCTGAGGAGAGGTAAAAATACGGATTACAAATACAAAACCTACCAATCACCAGACAGCTCACCGACCCCGCCCCCCCCCCACCTTGATCTTCCAATCAATGGTCGTCCCTGGCTGTCCTCGCAGCTCCGCCCACACCCCTCCTAGGCTTTTGACACACATACTAAAAGCAGCAATTTGTTAGACAATGACAGAAAATCCCCCAAAAATGATCCCATTCCTGAGCGCCGAGACCCCGGAGAAGGAAACCCCGGAGAAGGAGACCCCCAAAGATGATCCCCATTCCAGAGCGCCGAGACCCCGGAGAAGGAAACCCCCAAAAATGATCCCATTCCAGAGCGCCAAGACCCCGGAGAAGGAAACCCGGAGAAGGAGACCCCCCAAAAGATGATCCCATTCCAGAGCGCAGAGACCCCGGAGAAGGAAACCTCCCAAAATGATCCCATTCCAGAGCGCCGAGACCCCGGAGAAGGAAACCCCGGAGAAGGAGACCCCCCAAAGATGATCCATTCCAGAGCGCAGAGACCCCGGAGAAGGAAAACCCCCCAAAGATGATCCCATTCCTGAGTATCCCGGGACCCCGGAGAAGGAAACCCCCAAAAATCCCATTCCTGAGCGCCAGGACCCCGGAGAAGGAAACCCCCCAAAAATGATCCCATTCCTGAGCACCGGGACCCCGGAGAAGGAAAACCCCAAAGATGATCCCATTCCTGAGCACGGGACCCCGGAGAAGGAAACCCCCCAAAGATGATCCCATTCCTGAGCACCGGGACCCCAGAGAAGGAAACCCCCCAAACATCCCATTCCTGAGCACCGAGACCCCGGAGAAGGAAACCCCCGAAACATCCCATTCCTGAGCACAGGGACCCTGGAGAAGGAGACCCCCAAAGAAGATCCCATTCCTGAGCGCTGGGACCCCCGGAGAAGGAAACCCCCCAAAGATGATCCCATTCCTGAGCGCCCGGAGACCCCGGAGAAGGAAACCCCCCAAAGATGATCCCATTCCTGAGCACCGGGACCCCGGAGAAGGAAACCCCCCAAAACATCCCATTCCTGAGCGCCGAGACCCCGGAGAAGGAAACCCCCAAAGATCCCAATCCTGAGCGCCTGAGACCCCGGAGAAGGAAAACCCCCCAAAGACGATCCATTCCTGAGCGCCGAGACCCCGGAGAAGGAAACCCCCCAAAGATCCTATTCCTGACGCCGAGACCCCGGAGAAGGAAACCCCCCAAAGATGATCCCATTCCTGAGCGCCGAGACCCCGGAGAAGGAAAAAACCCCCCAAAGATCCTATTCCTGAACACCGAGACCCCGGAGAAGGAAACCCCCCAAAGATCCCATTCCTGAACACCGAGACCCCGGAGAAGGAAACCCCCCAAAGATCCCATTCCTGAACACCGAGACCCCGGAGAAGGAAACCCCCCAAAGATGATCCCATTCCTGAGCGCCGAGACCCCGGAGAAGGAAACCCCCCAAAGATGATCCCATTCCTGAGCGCCGAGACCCCGGAGAAGGAAACCCCCCAAAGATCCTATTCCTGAACACCGAGACCCTGGAGAAGGAAAACCCCCCAAAGATCCCATTCCTGAACACCGAGACCCCGGAGAAGGAAACCCCCCAAAGATCCCATTCCTGACACCGAGGACCCCGGAGAAGGAAACCCCCCAAAGATGATCCCATTCCTGAGCACCGGGACCCGGAGAAGGAAACCCCCCAAAGATCCCATTCCTGAGCGCCGAGACCCCGGAGAAGGAAACCCCCCAAAGATCCTATTCCTGAGACACCGAGACCCCGGAGAAGGAAACCCCCAAAGATCCCAATCCTGAGTGCCGAGACCCCCGGAGAAGGAAACGGCGCACTTTGTGATGTCACATTTCAGTTGCCTGTGTGAGCTCTGATTGGCTGGGTCTGCTGGCGGCCACCTACGGTATCCCCTGTAGCTGCGGCTTGTCAAGCAGGTTGTGCAGTTCATTCCGAGACGCCTCAATCTTCTCCCGATCTGCCGCGTCCACCATATACCTGCCGCAGGAAAAAAAACCGCCGCGTCAGATTCTGTCCCTGAATTCCAGGCAAACCACGAAGATGCTAAACTAACGAAAACACGCGGGGGGGGGGGGGGGGGGTGCGGGCGGCTGGGGGAGGAGGGAGGAGGGAGGGGAGCACGTCTTGGGGGGGGGGGGGGGGGTATGTACTTCTGTCCATCCAGTCCTGAAGTTTACTTTCACTTGAGATTGGACAGTGAAATGAGAAGGATGAGCTCATCTCTCTGCTCTCTCCTCCTATCAGCATGTTCCTTGGCACAGCTGATTGGCTCTTTCTGCTGCTTCTCCTGCTCCCATTCGGAGCTCTGCTGTACAGAACTGCGGTTTATAGGCTGCACTATAAGCACACGTCAGAGGATTCAGTTACATTGTTCTCGGCTATCTCTGAGGACTACAGAACCCCCCCCCCTTCCTATGTTACGGATTTAAAAGGCAGATTTTTTCAAATAACAAACACGCTTCCTTCCTCGGGAATGGATTTGCACAGAGCCCCCTCGATCCTCCCTTCTGGGGTCACCCTCCAGCGCTCCTGGCCCCTCCCTCCAGCCAAGAGTGCCCCCCGCAGCCTGCTATGGGGCCCCCAAATAGGCTCACTCCCGAGCCGCTGCTGTGTCTCCATTCACACACAAACGCGGCTTGGCCCAGACGCCCCCCATGCTCTCTCCTCATTGGCTCACTGGCTGTGACTGACAGCAGCAGGAGACAATGGTTCCTTCTGCTGTCTCAGCCAATGAGGAGTTGTCCCTGGAAAGCCGAGGCTGGATAGAGGCGGGGCTCAGGTAAGTATGGGGGGGGGGGCTGGGCACAAAGAACACAAGGAGGTAAAAAAAACATTGAGAATTTGCAACCACTTTAAGGAGCGGGGGAGGAGTTCTGTAGTCCTAACACACCTTCTGTCCAAGAGTGGCTACGCCGCTCCTCCCTAAAGGCCGCCCCCCCCCTGACCCCCCCCCCGCGGCCAGGGTTGCAGGAATGAGGCCCTTGTCCTCATCAACATGGGCACCTCCCCCGTTCATGTTGAGGGCACGGGGGAGGGGCATAATCCTAATTTTGCACATTCCATCACCCCGGGCTGGACTGGTGGGCGGGACTATCCAGTGTTGGGGGCGGGCCAACTGATAAACTACAACTCCCAAGATCCTCTGCGTTCTGTGCAGAACACGCTATTGGCTGCTGCCAGCCATGGATTTCCTCTCACTTCCTGTCGCGTCTCCGAACAGGAAATCAGAGCGAATCTCCAACAGAAGGCATCCTGGCCATAGAGATCCTTTACCCCCCCCCCCCCGAGGGGGAGATTTCCTCTCACTGCCTGTCCCTCACTCACAGGAACCGCAAATCTAATTCTGAATAAAATGTATGATAAAGGTTTGCGTTAGTTTGTTAGGAGCGGCTCGGGACCCCCCAGACACCCCCGGGACCCCCCCCCACCGGGGACCCGGCCCCCCGGGAACCCGCCCCCCCCAGACACCCCCGGGGGGACCCCCCCCCCACCGGGGACCCGGCCCCCGGGAACCCCCGGGGACCCGCCCCCCCCAGACACCCCCAGACACCCGCCCCCCCCAGACATCCCTGGGGACCCGCCCCCCACCGGGAACCGCCCCCCCAGACACCCCCGGGGACCCGCCCCCCACCGGGACCCGCCCCCCCAGACACCCCGGGGACCCGCCCCCCCCCAAACACCCCCAGGAAACCCGCCCCCCACCGGGGACCCGCCCCCCAGACACCCCCGGGGACCCGCCCCCCCACCGGGGACCCGCCCCCCCAGACACCCCGGGGACCCTCGCCCCCCCCCCCGGGAAACACCCCCCAGACACCCCCCGGGGACCCGCCCCCCGGGAAACGCCCCCCAGACACCCCCCGGGGACCCGCCCCCCACGGGAACCGCCCCCCCAGACACCCCCAGGAAACCCGCCCCCCACCGGGGACCCGCCCCCGACACCCCCGGGACCCGCCCCCCCACCGGGGACCCGCCCCCCAGACGCACAGATCCAGAACTTACACAATGGCATTGACCCCCCGACAATATCGCTCCCACATACTGCGGAACCGCGGGCTGACCCCCGATGTCCCAGATCTGCCGAGAGACAAAGAAACGGAAAAACACCTCCAATACAATACAGCTTCATTCATGGGGGGAGGGGGGACTGAGGACACGCCCCCTCCTCCTCCTACATCTGATCACTGGGGGAGGAGACTGAGGAAGTGCCTCCTCCTCCTTCTACAAAGTTACAATGTACAGTCTGATCACTGGGGGAGGAGACTGAGGAAATGACTCCTCCTCCTTCTACAAAGTTACAATGTACAGTCTGATCACTGGGGGAGGGGACTGAGGAAATGACTCCTCCTTCTTCTACAAAGTTACAATGTACGGTCTGATCACTGGGGGAGGGGAGAATGAGGGAATGACTCCTCCTCCTTCTACAAAGTTACAATGTACGGTCTGATCACTGGGGAAGGAGAGACTGAGGAAATGCCTCCTCCTCCTTCTACAAAGTTACAATGTACAGTCTGATCACTGGGGGAGATCTGTGACAAGTGAACATCATTAGATAGACATGGCCCGGCAGGGGAACTACATATCCCAGCATGCCAGTGTATGATGTGCAGTGGGGGGGGGGGGGGGGGGAATGGCCGCCTCACCTTTATGGTCACGTTTCCTTTGGTCACTTTGCGCATGTTGAACCCCACCGTAGGGATCATATCGTCACTGAACTGTCCGGACTGCAGGAGGAACACAGAGACAGGCGGGTCAGAGGAGAGTTCAGGAGACATGCAGGGACACATCAACCAATCAGGATTCATCCTTCTCCGTACTGACATCACATGCTGCAATCTGATTGGCTGCTGTATATTGTTACATTGTATTTCCTGATATACATTATCAGCCCCGGAGGGGGAGGAGCCTCTAACACCCCAGAAACGTATTGCCTAGTTTTGCCAATTTATAACCACCAATAAAATTCCCCCTGGACACACCCCCGAGGAGCGGCACTTTCATCTTCTCTCTCTGGAGAGGGGCGGACGGGTCAGTTTTGGGTGGAGCTGATCTCCTCCTGCAGGCGGGACTCCGGGGCGTCTGTTCTGGGAAGATGGAAAAGTCGATATTCCCAGCGGAGTCGTCACACCATTCCTCCAGTGAGAACTGAAGTCCCGGAACTCCATCCCAGTACGTCCAATGAGTGGGAACCGACTACAGAGCGCCACCCCCAGGGAGCAGGAGGCATTAATGGACAGGCGGGGCATGCTGGGACTTACAGTCCTCCCAGATCACTGGAGGGGGGAGACGGCCAATCAGCACAATGCCAAATAATAGTGGGAGGGGACCCTGATGTCCGAGAGCGACACCCCCACAACACAGGATACTGAGAGCCACACCCCTCACCAGAGGATGGGGCCCCAACGCTGGGAGCAGTAGTCCATGCTGGGAGTTGTGCCCCCCCCCATGCTGGGAGTTCTACTCTCCCCCATGCTGAGAACTAGTCCCCCATCCTCCCATGATGGGAGTTGTAGCCCCCCCTGCCTCATCCCATGATGGGAGTTTGTAGCCCCCCCTGCATGATGGGAGTTGTAGCCCCCCTGCCTCATCCCTGGGAGTTGTAGCCCCCCATCCCCATGATGGGAGTTGTAGCCCCCCATCATCCCATGATGGGAGTTGTAGTCCCCCATCCCTGCCTCATCCCATGATGGGAGTTGTAGCCCCCCCCTCATCCCTAGCCCCCCATCATCCCATGATGGGAGTTGTAGCCCCATCATCCCTGCCTTCACCTATTATGGGAGTTGTAGTCCTCCTCCTCCCCACATATAAGAGGAGTTGTAGTCCCTATTCCTATGATGGGAGTTTTATCTTTAGTTCCCCTCCTCATCCGTTGATGGGAGTTACAGTCTTCCCCCCCCCCCCTCCAATGATAGGGGTTGTAGCGCTTCCCTCCAACTCCTATGGTGAGGGTTGTAGTTCTCTCCTCCCCCTCCTATGATGGAGGTTGTAGTCCCCCTTCTCCTCCTATGATGGGGCTGGTTGTCCCCCTTTTATGATGGTGGATGCAGTCTACTCTCCCTCCCACGATGGGGGTTGTAGTCCCCCTCTCCCTACCATCATGGGGTTGTAGTCCCCCTCTCCCCTACCATCATGGGGGGTTGTAGTCCCCCTCTCCCTACCATCATGGGGGGTTGTAGTCCCCCTCTCCCTACCATCATGGGGGGTTGTAGTCCCCCCTCCCATGAGGGGGGTTGTTGTCCCCCCTCCCCTCCCATGAGGGGGGTTGTAGTTCCCCCCTCCCCTCCCATGATGGGGGTTGTCGTCCCCCCTCCCATGAGGGGGGTTGTAGTCCCCCCTCCCCTCCCATGATGGGGGTTGCAGTCCCCCCTCCCCCATGATGGGGGTTGTAGTTCCCCCTCCCCTCCCATGGTGGGGGTTGTAGTTCCCCCTCCCCTCCCATGATGGGGGTTTAGTCCCCCCTCCCATGGTGGGGGTTGTAGTCCCCCCTCCCCTAGTCCCCCCTCCCATGGTGGGGGTTGTAGTCCCCCCTCCCCCCCCCTCCCATGGTGGGGGTTGTAGTCCCCCCCTCCCTCCCATGGTGGGGGTTGTAGTCCCCCCTCCCCTCCCATGGGGGTTGTAGGATGGGGGTTGTAGTCCCCCCTCCCCTCCCATGGTGGGGGTTGTAGTCCCCCCCCCCCTCCCATGATGGGGGTTGTAGTCCCCCCCCCCTCCCATGATGGGGGTTGTAGTCCCCCCTCCCCTCCCATGATGGGGGTTGTAGTCCCCCCTCCCCTCCCCTGATGGGGGTTGTAGTCCCCCTCCCCTCCCCTGATGGGGGTTGTAGTCCCCCCCCCCTGATGGGGGTTGTAGTCCCCCCTCCCCTCCCATGATGGGGGTTGTAGTCCCCCCCTCCCCTCCCATGATGGGGGTTGTAGTCCCCCCTCCCCTCCCATGATGGGGGTTGTAGTCCCCCCCCCCTCCCCTGATGGGGGTTGTAGTTCCCCCTCCCCTGATGGGGGTTGTAGTCCTCCCCCTCCCCTCCCATGATGGGGGTTGTAGTCCTCCTCCCCTCCCCTCCCATGATGGGGGTTGTAGTCCTCCCCTCCCCTCCATGATGGGGGTTGTAGTCTCACCGCGATCACATTGACGAACGTCGTCTTCCCGGAGTGTTGGAGGCCCACCAGAGTCAGCTCCATCTCCTCCTTCCAGAACAACGACCGGAACCAATCCAGCAATCGGGACAGGAGAGACATCATCATTCTAACACCGGGACCACCGAGCTCTCCACCGGAACCGGAACCGCCCAGCGCCACCTACCGACTGGCCGGCCCATCCCAGAGGATGCTGGGAAATGGAGTCCGCCGACCTCCGCCACTGCAGCAATACAACCGACACTGCCCCTCCCCCATCCATACCTTCCGCCCCTCCCCCATCCCACTGTACTCCTCCACTGTATACAGCACCGCTACTCTCCCCTCCCCCATCATCATCATCATCATCATCACCATCATCATCATCCTGCCCCCCACATCCACCCTACACTGAAATATCAGTTGTGGGCGGAGTGACCCTTCCATGTCCCGCCTCCCCCCTCGGCGTTCTGACTCCCGTCTCCGCGTTCTGACTCCCCCCTCGGCGTTCTGACTCCCCCCCTCCGAGTTCTGACTCCCCCCTCCGAGTTCTGACTCCCCCCTCCGAGTTCTGACTCCCGTCTCCGAGTTCTGACTCCCGTCTCCGAGTTCTGACTCCCCTCTCGGCGTTCTGACTCCCGTCTCCGAGTTCTGACTCCCGTCTCGCGTTCTGACTCCCGTCTCCGAGTTCTGACTCCCGTCTCGGCGTTCTGACTCCCGTCTCCGAGTTCTGACTCCCGTCTCGCGTTCTGACTCCCGTCTCCGAGTTCTGACTCCCGTCTCGGCGTTCTGACTCCCGTCTCCGCGTTCTGACTCCCGTCTCGGCGTTCTGACTCCCGTCTCCGAGTTCTGACTCCCGTCTCCGCGTTCTGACTCCCGTCTCCGAGTTCTGACTCCCCTCTCGGCGTTCTGACTCCCGTCTCCGAGTTCTGACTCCCGTCTCCGCGTTCTGACTCCCGTCTCCGCGTTCTGACTCCCGTCTCCGAGTTCTGACTCCCGTCTCCGCGTTCTGACTCCCGTCTCCGAGTTCTGACTCCCGTCTCCGCGTTCTGACTCCCGTCTCCGAGTTCTGACTCCCGTCTCCGCGTTCTGACTCCCGTCTCGGCGTTCTGACTCCCGTCTCGGCGTTCTGACTCCCGTCTCGGCGTTCTGACTCCCGTCTCCGCGTTCTGACTCCCGTCTCCGCGTTCTGACTCCCGTCTCCGAGTTCTGACTCCCGTCTCCGCGTTCTGACTCCCCTCTCGCGTTCTGACTCCCGTCTCCGAGTTCTGACTCCCGTCTCCGCGTTCTGACTCCCGTCTCCGCGTTCTGACTCCCGTCTCCGAGTTCTGACTCCCGTCTCGGCGTTCTGACTCCCGTCTCGGCGTTCTGACTCCCGTCTCCGAGTTCTGACTCCCGTCTCCGAGTTCTGACTCCCGTCTCCGAGTTCTGACTCCCCTCTCGGCGTTCTGACTCCCGTCTCGGCGTTCTGACTCCCGTCTCCGAGTTCTGACTCCCGTCTCCGAGTTCTGACTCCCGTCTCCGAGTTCTGACTCCCGTCTCGGCGTTCTGACTCCCGTCTCCGAGTTCTGACTCCCGTCTCCGAGTTCTGACTCCCGTCTCCGCGTTCTGACTCCCGTCTCCGAGTTCTGACTCCCCTCTCGGCGTTCTGACTCCCGTCTCCGAGTTCTGACTCCCGTCTCCGAGTTCTGACTCCCGTCTCGGCGTTCTGACTCCCGTCTCCGCGTTCTGACTCCCGTCTCCGAGTTCTGACTCCCGTCTCCGAGTTCTGACTCCCCTCTCGGCGTTCTGACTCCCGTCTCCGAGTTCTGACTCCCGTCTCCGAGTTCTGACTCCCCTCTCGGCGTTCTGACTCCCGTCTCCGAGTTCTGACTCCCGTCTCCGAGTTCTGACTCCCGTCTCTCGGCGTTCTGACTCCCGTCTCCGAGTTCTGACTCCCGTCTCCGAGTTCTGACTCCCGTCTCCGAGTTCTGACTCCCCTCTCCCAACAAGGTGTTAGAGACGTTCCTCGTAGTGACATGATGACGTCACGCAGTTGCTGCAGATTTTTCGGCTGCACATCCATGATGGGAATCTCCCACCACATCCGAAAGGTGCTCCATTGGATGGAGATCTGGTGACTGGAGGCCATTGGAGTCCAGTGACCTCATCGTCATGTTGGAGATGATCTGAGCTTTGTGACATGGAGCATTATCCTGCTGGGAGGAGCCATCAGAAGATGGGGACACTGGAGTCATAGAGGGATGGACATGGTCAGCAACAATACTCAGGGAGGTTGTGGTGTGAAAATGATGCTAAACTGGTACTAAGGGGCCCAAAGTGTGCCAAGAACATCTCCCCCCCCACCTGACACACCACCAGCCTGAACCATTGATACAAGGCAGGATGGATCCCCCCCACCATGACACCACCACCAGCCTGAACCATTGATACAAGGCAGGATGGATCCACCACACCATGACACCACCACCACCAGCCTGAACCACTGATACAAGGCAGGATGGATCCACCACACCATGACACCACCACCACCAGCCTGAACCACTGATACAAGGCAGGATGGATCCACCACACCATGACACCACCACCCCCAGCCTGAACCACTGATACAAGGCAGGATGGATCCACCACACCATGACACCACCACCACCAGCCTGAACCATTGATACAAGGCAGGATGGATCCCCCACACCATGACACCACCAGCCTGAACCATGGATACAAGGCAGGATGGATCCCCCCACACCATGACACCACCACCAGCCTGAACCATTGATACAAGGCAGGATGGATCCACCACACCATGACACCACCACCAGCCTGAACTGGTGATACCAGGCAGGATGGATCCACCACACCATGACACCACCACCAGCCTGAACCGGTGATACAAGACAGGATGGATCCCCCACACCATGACACCACCCACCACCAGCCTGAACCATTGATACAAGGCAGGATGGATCCCCCCCCACCATGACACCACCACCACCAGCCTGAACCATTGATACAAGGCAGGATGGATCCCCCCCCACCATGACACCACCACCAGCCTGAACCATTGATACAAGGCAGGATGGATCCCCCCCACCATGACACCACCACCAGCCTGAACCATTGATACAAGGCAGGATGGATCCCCCACACCATGACACCACCACCCTGAACCATTGATACAAGGCAGGATGGATCCCCCACACCATGACACCACCACCACCAGCCTGAACCATTGATACAAGGCAGGATGGATCCCCCACACCATGACACCACCACCACCAGCCTGCCTGAACCATTGATACAAGGCAGGATGGATCCACCACACCATGACACCACCACCACCAGCCTGAACCATTGATACAAGGCAGGATGGATCCACCACACTGACACCACCACCAGCCTGAACCATTGATACAAGGCAGGATGGATCCATGCTTTCATGTTGTTTACTCCAAATTCTGATCCCACCATCTGAATGTTGCAGCTGAAATCCAGACTCCTCAGACCGGGCAACGTTTGTCCAATCTTCTATTATCCAATGTTGGTGATCCTGTGCGAATTGTAGCCTCTGTTTCCTGTTCTTAGCTGACAGGAGTGGCCATCGGTGTGGTCTCAGCTGACAGGAGTGGCTCCCGATGTGGTCTCAGCTGACAGGAGTGGCACCCAGTGTGGTCTTCTGCTGACAGGAGTGGCACTCGGTGTGGTCTCAGCTGACAGGAGTGGCACCCAGTGTGGTCTTCTGCTGACAGGAGTGGCACCCGGTGTGGTCTCAGCTGACAGGAGTGGCACCCAGTGTGGTCTTCTGCTGACAGGAGTGGCACCCAGTGTGGTCTCAGCTGACAGGAGTGGCACCCAGTGTGGTCTCAGCTGACAGGAGTGGCACCCAGTGTGGTCTCAGCTGACAGGAGTGGCACCCGGTGTGGTCTAAGCTGACAGGAGTGGCACCCAGTGTGGTCTCAGCTGACAGGAGTGGCACTCGGTGTGGTCTCAGCTGACAGGAGTGGCACCCAGTGTGGTCTCAGCTGACAGGAGTGGCACCCAGTGTGGTCTCAGCTGACAGGAGTGGCACCCGGTGTGGTCTAAGCTGACAGGAGTGGCACCCAGTGTGGTCTCAGCTGACAGGAGTGGCACTCGGTGTGGTCTCAGCTGACAGGAGTGGCACCCAGTGTGGTCTCAGCTGACAGGAGTGGCACCCAGTGTGGTCTCAGCTGACAGGAGTGGCACCCAGTGTGGTCTCAGCTGACAGGAGTGGCACCCAGTGTGGTCTCAGCTGACAGGAGTGGCACCCAGTGTGGTCTCAGCTGACAGGAGTGGCACCCAGTGTGGTCTCAGCTGACAGGAGTGGCACCCGGTGTGGTCTTCTGCTGCTGTAGCCCATCTGCTTCAAGGTTGGCCGTGTTGTGCGTTCAGAGATGGTATTCTGCATATGTTGGGTGTAACAAGGAGTTATCGGAGTTCCTGTTGCCTTTCTATCATCTCCAACCAGTCTGCCCATTCTCATCTGACCTCTGACCTCAACCAGGCATTTTCCTCCACACAACTGCCACTCGCTGGATATTTTCTCTTTTTCGGACCATTCTCTGTAATCCCCTAGAGATGGTTGTGCGGGAAATCGCCGTCTGGCACCAACAGTCATGCCACGTTCAAAGTCACTTAAATCCCATTTCTTCCCCATTCAACTTCAGCAAGTCGTCTTCACCACACCTAGATGCCTAAATGCATTGAGTTGCTGCCGTGTGATTGGCTGATTGAACAGGTGGACCTGATAAAGAGTCCGGTGATCGCGACCCGTCTATACAGTCACATGGTGTTGTGTCACCTGACCCAGGGAGCGAATAAACTGAAAGTCATGTGGACAATTCCCCTCCCCCCCCCCCTCCTGCACTTGGTTTTGTTATTATTGTATGGCGATAAAGTTTTCCCCGATCAATAATCAATCTTTTTTCTGAAAGTTTTTTATTTTTTTATTGGAAGTCCATCTGCAGCATTATAGGAAATATTTCTTAGTAAATCTCTCTTCACTTCCTCACTCTTCAGGAGACATTGTGAGCCGCCCATCTCCGGGATCAGCAAATGAGATCTACCGACTACATTCCCATCATCCGCCCACTACTGCCCACAGGGGAGATCTGATCAATTAGAGTGTCAGCTCCTCTGTACAGAGACTGATGTGACTG